ATACTCATCAGGCCCACAAACTTGGGAAATGCTAAACACTCAGGGGCCAGTTTAGATGATCACCACAGCTCACCTTGGCTTATTTATGCAATGGGTTATGGTGAATGTCATTAATTTCTTTATTCTTTCTTAGATTTATATCCTACCTTTTTCTTTTTTAAAGAACTCAAAGCAGCTTACATCATTCTCATCCTCCTGCTGGCAGATTATTTGAATCTTTAAGTTTCAGCAGATGATTTGTTATGACATCTGAACCTGGATGGTAGAGACTTTTAACACCACACTTAACCTTCCAACAGACTGTGGTTTATATGAGGTTTAACTCTCAAACCATAACAGCACCTTGTGTTAAAGATTCCAGATGGCCACTAACATGCACTTCAACCCCGCCCACCATGACTGGAGGTTAGGGAGGGTAGCAGTAATCATATGACCCTGATAATTTTCACAACATTTTCCTATTTGTTCTGCATAAGATTGGTGACTTACTTTATGTTGGTGACTTGGGAGTCATTGTAGTAACTTGAGAGGCCTCATACTAAGGTGAAGGAGCCTAGACTATAAGGCCAAAGCATGCCATGATTGCCCCAGTTTCTGGGAAGGGTGATGGCAAGCATGATTAATAGACTCATTCTCCATTAATGTGAGCTTCTCTTGTTGTTGTTGTTGTTAGTCACGAAGTCGTGTCTGATCCATCGCGACCCCATGGACAACATTCCTCCAGGCCTTCCTGTCCTCCACCATCGCCCGGAGTCCACTTAAGCTCACACCAACTGCTTCATTGACTCCATCTAACCACCTCATCCTCTGCCATCCCCTTCTTCTTTTGCCATCTATTGTTCTCAGCATTAGGCTCTTCTTCAGGGGATCCTTTCTTCTCATTAGGTGGCCAAAGTATTTGAGTTTCATCTTCAGTATCTGGCCTTCTAAAGAGCAGTCAGGGTTGATCTCCTCTAGAACTGACTGGTTTGATCACCTTGTGGTCCAAGGGACTCGTAGGAGTCTCCTCCAACACCACAATTCAAAGGCCTCAATTCTTCAGCGCTCAGCCTTCCTTATGATCCAACTTTCATCATCATTATTGTTGCAATAGAATTATTTATGCAAGTAAACATCCTAGTGGTGACATAAGGAATGGCATTGAAGTGGCTTTCAGATTAATGGTGTAATGTCAGAAAGGGAACTTGATCATAAGTAGGAAAGGGAGCAGTCTTTTGGTGTCAGAACAAGGAAAAGGTTGTGCTGCTTAGCTACAAGGGTGTTTTCTTTCTCTACAATCACTGAAGTGGTTGTAGACATATATATATAATACATCCACTACAAATGTTGTGAGCTTAACTGGACTCCGGGGGATGGTGGAGAACAGGAAGGTCTGGAGGAGTGTTGTGCATGGGATCGCAATGGGTCGGACATGACTTTGCAACTAACAACAACTGCAAATGTAAATACATTTCAGAAGCTAGTGCTAATCACAACCATAGACTATGAATGTGCAAGGCTCTTGGTTTTCTGTTGTTATTATTTCCATTTCAGTCTTTCCTGAAGTTGAAGAGATCACTACCAAAAAAAGATTATTTATCTATTATCTTTATACAGCAAATGGGAGGTCAACGAACCAGCTTCAGATCTTGATTTTTCTCTATTTTTGTTTCTCTGTCTTTCTACGGGTACTGGCAAGAGGTCAAATTAAACTTAAAGTGGGAGATACAGAATTGAATCTCCCAATATATGTTTCATTATATCAAATCACAGTTTTCCCATACTGTGCCTGTTTTGCCCCTAAGTCCCTTGAAATAAATGCTCAGCATAGAGAGAAGCAACCAATATTAATGAAACTTGAACCCCAAACTTCAGATGGAGTCCAACACAACAGTCTTTCTTCTCCTCTAGACAGCAGCTTTTAACAGTCAAGCTTGAGGGATTAGGGGAATTCCTTACAATTCTTTGTTGCAGCTGGAAAGATTCTCCCTCTTGGTCTCATCCATTCTGAATGCCTCAGCAAGAGAGAGGCAGGAGGCATGCTGTGGAGTTCATTCTTTGTAGAGTCAAAAGCTAATTAAACACAACTGTTGGTTGAACTGATGACACCTGTTTTACCTCAAGATTTTTCTACCATTCTCTAACTTTACAGGGTCTTCTTTTAGTGAAGTGATAAGGTCTTCTGCATTTATAGAAATGATCACATTGCTATACAGATAGATAGATAGATAGATAGATAGATAGATAGATAGATAGATAGATAGCTTTAACAATCCCTTCTAGGTTAATAAGCCTCATTCTGAAGAGGTAAATTAATTTCCTGTGTGACAGATAATATCACAAAGTTGATCTTTTTTTTTTTTTGGTTGCAAAGCCTACTTAAAGCTCTGACTTAAATGCTGAATGTCTTTATTAATTATGGCTGAAGTTGGTGCTCTTTCTGGAATGACCTACAAGGGATAAGTAGCAGTGCCTTCAGCATTATGAATAATACTTTTCAGGACAGAAAGACAAAGAAGCCAGTAGCAACACTTTATTTGTAAAAAATGCATGTGTGTATGACACAGATTTATTTGTTTTTACTAAAATGCAAAGATTAACATGCACGGGAGTTAATCTGTGTAAATAAACACTTTGGCAAACCACTTTACCTTCTCATGTTTTTCCACCAATTTTTTTGTGACTAGTGCCTTACTATTGACTTTCCTTCATTTAAAAAGAGGATAGGCTACTTTGTGGAAGGTCAGCCTGTTGATAACTAGTAATCCATTACTGTTAAATGGAACTTCCAGGTTCAGGTTCCGTGTGAGGTCTGTTGGCTTTGTTTGCTGGTGGACTCTCCCGAATATTTTTCTGGCTGGCTACTTCTTATTCCCTAGGCACACTCCAGCATGACCTCAAGGACAAAGCCACCACAGAGGTTTCTGTGATAGCTGGGAAGGACTGGGAGGCATGCTTGCATTTTCCTTTTGAAGGTTGAAGCCCTGTTTGTAGCCTTGTAGTCCTGTGGCCCTTGGGACACTCTTCCCAGGATCATTGGATTGCTCTTCTTGATCAAAAGATGATTTGAGCCTTCAGTTCTTTTTTTCACCACTAGAATTATACTACATTTAAAGGTAGATAATTTAAATTAATGAGCTCATGTGATAGATTCACTGGCAAAATTCTGCTACTTTTTTTAAAGCATTAAAAAACTAAATTATCTTGTGTGAGTTGGCAAAAAGTGGTATAGAAGTGCAGTTAATATTACGTTGTGCATGTATGTATTTTAAACTACCCTTTCACCCAAGTTCTATAACTGTCAGAGTTCTACTCAGTTCATTGAGCTCCATTTCCACTTAACTCTTATACAATTGCATCATTCGCATATTGATCCAAAGTATTATTGCAAGTGAACGTCTGGTGGGCACTATCATTGGATACAGTATAAAAATGAATCTTTAAATTCAAATTAGTTTAATGTAATAGTTTCATCCAAACACATTACACTTAAAGTATTGTTCTATTTGCACAGCTGCTTTAAATACTATAGGAATTAAATTACATCACTTTTCTGTTCTGTGACTATCCATGTACTTCTGCAGAATCATTGAACAGCAGAGTTGGAAGGGGCCAATAATGTGCAAATGTGCAAATCCCTGCTCAGTGCAGGACTCGGAGTTAGTTCATTTTTTGTATAATAAAGAAAAATCACTAATAGTGCAAAGACATAGTCTAGACCAGTGGTTTTCACGGGAGATCTCCAGTCCATGGGACATTTCTTGCTGGTCCATGGGAAAGGTACATCCTGCTAGCCACATAATGGTGTGGGGGCTGGCTGTGCTCCACCACCTCTTCCTCAGTTGTCACCACATTTGCGGGGAGTTTGCCAGTGCCACTGGTGGGGTCCAGACATGGCAGATTTTGGTATTTTGTTCTTTTGTTGGTGTTTTTTGTTTCTCAGTTTCTAGTTGTTCATTTGTTCTCTCTCTCTCTCTCTCTCTCTCTCTCTCTCTCTCTCTCTCTCTCTCTCATTTGATTGTGTTTGGAAACTAATACACAAAATACTGCATTATGTGCTTTTTTTTTCTGCCTGGTCTCCGAGGTGGTTTTCCTGTTTTTGCCAGTCCCCAGCTGTGGAAAGGCTGAAAAAGCCATCGGATTTTTCAGAGTCACAGCTCAGAACTTGGGAACTTGCAGCAAACTTGGAGCTAGAACTCTGAACTTGGAGTGTCTTCCAGCTCCCGTGCAGCTGGTGTGGAAAGGACCATGCCAGCTGCAGCTCTTGCAAGGGCAACCTCAGAAATGGGCATTGTGGGCTGTTGTGGAAGGGGAGCAAACAAACTATACCAACATACAAAGTTTCTGTCAGTGCCTTGCCCTTCTTGCCTATTCCAAGGCTGAACACTTAGATGGATTAAATCAGCTGGCTGTTTTGTATGGCAGGAGTGCAGAGGCAACCTTTGCTTCTGCATTCCTCCTGCCATTCATAAGATGCCCATAATCCTCTGAGTTCAGAGGTTTATGTGCAACCTTATTAGATTGCATCCTAAAGTAACATTTTCTTCTTCCTTTATCTTGCTTTGAAATATATGGATGTGATATGGTTACTGAAGTATATGCCTACCACTGACACTCTAGCAATTTTATTCTTAATCTGTTTTAAAACCTTTTCCTCTCCTTTGTTTACTACGACTTCTTTAATAATGTAGACATTATAAACTTTGAATACGTCTTTGAATACTAGCATTTGAGCATACAAACTATGTCCATTCTTTAACAGGCATTGGTTCTAGCTAATGGTTAACTTGAATGATGCTTATCAACTTTTAATTTTAAAGAAACAGTTCATTGCTATGAAGCTTAACAATGTTTTTTAAACAAGTGATTGCTTCTTTGTGCTTGATAGCAAGTCATTTATTTTAAAGAAGTATGTATAATTTAGATTGTTGAGTGAATTACAGTGATTTGTATTAACTTGAAATATAAGAAAATCCTTTATAAAAGATCCCTTATACTTAACTATTGTCTTTTTTTTTAAGGGACCTCAGTGAAAATCAGATTCATGCTATTCCAAGGAAGGCATTCCGAGGAGCTGTAGACATTAAAAATTTGTAAGTATTTCAATTGACTTTTATTATGAAGTTAAGAATATATAATACAGTGTCTTCAGTATCTTATCTACAGTAATTTATCTACAGTATAATAACTATACGGTACATATATTTGTTATATGTATATACAGACACACCATTAATAAAGAAGACAACAGTGTCTTCAATTATCCAGACCAGGAAACAATGGTTGCAAGATTTGAAACAATTTCAAAATGTGGATTAAGATACTGACTTGTTCCTGACAATCATAATTTCTCAGTTCAGTCAAAATACAGAACTTTGTTGATTGAAACCTTCTTGACGTCCTATGGTATGGTGGGGACAGAAGTAGTAATACAAAGATTAAGCTGGGGTTTTTTTGGGGGGGGGTGGAGCTTGTGCATAACTACACTTATTTCAACAAGATGTTGAAGAAAATAATTTATTTACATAGCATGCCCATTTTCTGTTATTTAACTTGATTTGAATTCCCATTTCCTATTATTATAGAATACTTTTATACTTGTTGCCTGAATAAGGAGTTTCTTTGATGTTTGAGAACACTTGCTTGTTTTTTGTTTGCATTTTTTTTGAGATGGAATTGGCATGGCTTTCATTTTTTCCTCTCCATCGTTGTTATCAACACAACCACCACTATTATTTATTATTATCATCATCAGCAAAATGTTATATGTGCCTTTCCACAAAGGTATCAAAGTGTTGAACATAAAATGCATTGACATAAAACCAACACTAAATATAACAATAAAAACAAAACAGTACAACTTGGTTAGCAATAAAACTGCACACTTTGCTCTGTTTTATATACTGTAGGTGGCTGGGTTGAATTTCAGGAAAAGCCTGTGTACCAGTATGACTTTTAAGATGTCTGAGCATCAGAATCATGTGGTCCTGTTGAATATCACCTGGAAAATATTTTGCAGGGTTGGTGATGCAACATTAAATGCTTTACTGTAAAGGATCTTGAGGTGATGACCTTTGCCAGGCAGTAGTTCAGCTTCTCATGTGTGTGAGGCAGTTTGAAGGATATCTGAATGTTGTTGCAGCTGTGCCTGGTACTACTGCTTTCATTGAAATTGGCTGCCCAGAAAACCAACTTGAATATTTTAAGTAACCTTCAATTTCCAACTTGACTATTTTAAGTAACCTTTCTCTCTATTGTGACTGCTAAAGTTTGTTTTGAGTTGATTCATGTTTCATCATAAAGTCTATTAATTTCATATGTAATGATACAACATTTAGATCAACGATTTCATAGAGTTTATATAAGCTCATAAATCAGTGCACAGTTTCACAGACTAGGTGAAGTTCCAGTTAGAATGGTCTGTTCCCACACACTGGTCTGATAGTTTACGGATGATCTTAAGGAAATTTCATATTAGCATGACTCCTGTTATAGCTCTAGTCAGTCTCTGGCATGTAGAGATGACTTGGGCAGTAAACATGAACATTCCCAATACCCTCTTGCACTGGGCAGGGTCTATCAGGTTCCCTGATTTATAGGGAAGTTGGGGGCTTTGGGGCAGGTAAGCCATTGGCTTGAATCCAAGTGGTTTAACCCTGTGGAACCCAGATGAGAGCGGATGAGCATCAAGCTCTAAGGCAGCAAAGACACAGTCACACCCACATCATACCATTCAACAGAGTACTTCTAGGCAGTTCAAGATCTTTTCAAAATATTTTCCAGATGATATGAACAGGCCCTGTGACCTTATTGCAGAACAGTCCAAGAATAAATATCTATCATGACCTGGACACCTCAAATTTAGTTTGTGTATGTATCCAACAACCATCTAGTGCCTATTTTGTTAGATGAATTTCAGTTGCTGTTTCTAAGAGCGTGGACAGATGCTTGACAGAGTGTGACCTACCAGCAGTGTTCTCCTATTGACCACTGACATAGCAAGAGAGGGATTGACTGCTGGGTCCAGGAGATAATGAATGTCTCATTATGGTTGCCCTGGCCGCCTTGAAAGACATGATGATGAGGCTCAATTTAATTACATCTTGTTGCTATATAGATACAGATATAAATGAAATAAGTAGTTACAGGATAAACAAAACTGCAGATTGATTTTTCATTCTACTTTAATATGTGGTAGAATTTCTTTATATATGAGATGAATTTTCACATATTTTACACAATGTAAAATTGTGGGATGTGGACCCAGTCTATAAATAGAAAGCTGAAGATATCCAACTTACCATTGTTGATAACGTAAGAATTTATGAGGTACCTAGGTTCTTCATAGGTCATTCCCTTAAACATTAGCTTGACTTCACACAGTAATTTGGTGAGGAGAATTTAGCTATAACTGCCATGCAGAAGTATTTCCAAAAGCCCCATTAAACTGAGTATTATGGGAGAAAAGTATGAGACAGCAAAGAAAGGCATGAAAGAGATCCAAGAGTTTTCAGTGGAATAGAAAAAGATCCTTACAATGTTTTGTGCACTCCAGCTGATGGTCAATGGTATGAGGAAGTGGGGTGAATATTTTTCCCTGCACAATCCTTGAGGAAAGCTATTAGCTTTTTTCTGATACTTTGTAATGATTAAAGGAGATTCTCTAAGTCTAATATTTAAAAAGCAGATCGGATCCAAGAAGCATAACTTCCTTAGGTAATGAGAAATCCTTATAATAGTTCTCATATGAAATGACACATTACTGTACTTTGCTGTGTTACTCAAAGAAAATTAAACTCCTGTAAGGAAGACTAGTATAAGTCTTTCTCAGGCTTTATCCAGCAAGTATTTAAAAAGAACAGGAAGAATAATCTAATATCCAAGTTTATTATATGTATATATAGTAATTGGGTGGGAAAGTAGATAAATATTTAACGGATAATTGCAGTAGTTCAAAAGAGCAGAGGGAACCTTGATAGCTAGACTGAACTTGCTTCTTTCTCCTGTAAGAGTAATGGTTCTGAGGGCAAATGCTTGCTTGTGCTCGTGTACATGCGCACGCGCGCGCGCGCGCGCGCGCTCTCTCTCTCTCTCTCTCTCTCTCTCTCTCTCTCTCTCTCTCACACACACACACACACACACACACACACACACACACACACACACACACAGCTGAGGTTAGAACATATAATTGTTGCAGAATCCCAGTCGTGGGTTTTCCTAGAGAAAAGCAACTTCTACAGAGTGATTTGGAGTGGAGTAGCAAGGAAAATAGGGTCCCAAATGCAGGCTCCTTGCCACTTACTGATAAGAAATGGAGTTTCCATTGCATATTTCCCTATAGGTGTGAATGTGGTCTGGAACAGAGGATAAAATGTTAAATCTCACCTGGGAAGATGTGAGCTCAGATGTTTCCTCAGGTGTAAGGTGACCTTAGAGAAATTTCAAAAGTAATAGTAAACCTTGTTCTTTCATGCATCTTTATATCCACTTTTCGAGCCAAAAGGTGATCCAGGGTGGATCACAATTAAAAACATAAAAATAATACAGAATAGTGGCCATCTGATATAATTCATAAATGTAAGTAGCTGTCAAAACTATATATCAACAAGCTACCATATTCTTTGATGAATTAAGATAAAATTGGTGAATCTAAACTAGTTTGTACAAAATGCATATATATTCTGAATGTAATTTTGCATTTTATACTAACGTAAATCATTGTATTTTAAACTTACTGTCCTAATTGCAGGAAAAATCTGCTACCATTATGTCTTCTGCCGCTCTCTGGGTGGTCTTTTGGGCACCTCATGTGTTGTAGGTACCTGGACTTCTGTTTCAAGGTCCAGCCCTAGTTCTAGCACAGTGATCATTCTGTACGTTGCAAGAAGGTACTCCTATATGACATTTTACATATGCAGATCTCTATGGATAGAAATTCAGGACAGTTTTTCCTGAATTTTATGATTCCTGCAGAGAAGAAGATGTATGTATAGATTGTTTGAGTACAAGTTAGCAAAGTGAAAGGGTTTTAAAAAAATAAATCAAAGTGCTGTATTCTCAGATCTGTTCTGATCTCCAACCCGCAGAAACAGTGAATTGTACTCTGGCAGATTACTTCAGAAAGACTTGCTGGTCTATCACTCAACTGTTTTCTCCCTTGGAATTCAGTTTCTTCATCTTCTCCATTCTTCATAACACAACAGGTTGTTTCTGCAGTTTTCGTTGCTACTGCTGCTATTCTTCTTGTTTTATTCTTTGTATAGCTGAAAAATCTTCAACAGTCACAAGCTTACTTCCAAATAATACTTCTACAAATCTAAGAAAATCTTAATTTTACTAGTCTTGCAAGAATGCATATCATTTAATTGACAGAACTCTTTATAATAACTGGAATACATACAATGATCATTCCAGTAGGCATGCCAGGATCACTAAAATAAGCAGAAGAAAACTCAGTTGTTACTATGTTGGCCAAACTGATCAGTATTTTACCTAATTTTGGTAATATTTGCATTGGTAATATTAGCAATTACACTGCAAGGACAGCGTTTTATGATACAGTCCTTATATTCATTGACATCTCAAGTAAAGTAATGTTTGCAATAATACTTTCTTCCTAAATATTATACTTTCAGTAGTTGTTTTAAAATCTGTTGCAGTTTTTCCACAGTACCTCAAAGAATATTAAACAAAGAGGAAACACTACATTTTAATCAGCACTCTTGCTGCCAAGAAAGTGATTCGTGCCAAGTATTATCCCAGGGTGAACAGAAAAATAACTACGTGGGAAAGGAGCAAGTTTGAAAACTGCTATCCAGACTTAACCACAGCACTGTTTCAAGGGCATCATTAAAAGAAAGATCCCAAACTTTTTTGGAAGCACCTGAACTCCTGCCAATTTCAGAAAAGAAATCTGCCTTTCAGTTCTTGTAGGACAAGATTTGCTCGAGTGCTTTCTGTGCCGTTAAATCTTTCCCTTTGTGTATAATATGGATGATTTAGGAGGAGCTGTGTCAGTGCTGATTTATATATTGACAGCTAAGGATAATAAGATATGGACCAAAATACTGCTCCCCCTTTTACAGATTAACCTGCAGACTGCATTAGGCAAATTTGATGGCATTAAAAGATTTTACCAATTTGTCTCGAAACAATTTCTCTTTTGTGTTGTGTCAGGGGATAACATTTCATGCCATCACACTAATTTAAATGGCTTTGATAGATTGCTTCAGAGGTTAGAGAACTGTATTGGAGATATTATTTTGGCTCTTTAAAATAAAAAGCCTATTAGCTTAATTGTTAAATGTCTTTAATTAGTTAAAATGGAAAGCGCCTGAGAATTTTTTTTAATGCTTTGCAACACAAAACATTGCTCCAGAATGATTAACTGCAGTGGCTGGAAAATTATTGTTACTAGTAGACAAGTCATGTATTGTGGTGAGCATACAGAAAAAATAGGGCACAATCCAGGTTGAAGTTGTGTTCTGCAAGGTGAATGAGAGCACTATGCTCTTGTATGACTCCTATTAATTTCAGTGCATAGAAGAACTTGCATAGAATAACATCCTGCTGGATTGCATCCACAGTGTGTATGTTGCAAGTATATATGATCCTTGATGGTATTTGGCATCAGCAAAATTAGATGGATTTTTGACTTTTCAAAAATTGTATTGCATTGTAATCTTGCAGAAGTGATACACATTTGAAGATACCTCCCATACCATGGTTCTTTAGTACATGGAATGTTGGAATACTAGTTTGGTAGTCATCATTTGGACCCTCTGAGTTAAAGAATTATGTCAATTACACAGAAAATGGCTTGCTCATTCCCATGAGACATAAGAAAGATGGCATTTAGTATCCATCTTTTTCTGTTTTTTATTATTTATATAATGTACACTTTACAAACAAGAGAACAGGGTCCTGCAGGGTCCAACAGGTAGCTTGTGGAACCATAGAAGAAGGAAAAACTATTGAAAGGCAAGAAGATGGAAGTAGCAGGGAAATGGTATACATTCTGTTCAGTTGTACATACTAGATTTAGTTTCAGGAGGGATTAATACTAAGGCATTAAGCCACAGTTTTCACAAAAGAGGTGAGTTTTGAGAAGTGATGTGAAGGCATTGCAAAAGTTCTAGGTGTAGGGAACAATACGGGATAAATAGAATAGTTTTAAGGAAGCAGAACTTCAACTGGCTGAGAGTGGTGGACCTGAATGAGTAAAGGTCAAGAGCAGGACCATATTATTGACTCATATTTAGATCTCATGCTGTGGCTTAGACAGGCTGGGATAGTTGGATTTACATGGTCCTTTGGTCCATTTGTAACATGGGCTAGGCCAAGAAATGAATGTTTATAGTAGGCTAAAGGTACCACTTTGCTGGACATGCCCTAATCCATAAAACCAGTTATTGCAACAGTGTTTTTTCAGCATAAGCATATTTGCCAATGCAAACCACATCTTAATAAAGAGAAGTAAGATGAACCTGTACATCATTCTAAGTGTGCTTTGCTTGACAGTAGATCATATGGTTTTTGCAGGAAACTATTTGGAAGGAAAGAAATGTGTTTAGAATGACACCTTAAATCAGCGTAAATCAAATCATTTGACCTTAGTGTTGATGCAGCTAAGACTGTTAAATGAACTAAATCTGTGGTTTTCCTAAGCAGCAAGACTCCTAAGTTATTGCCACACAGTTAAAATGGTTAGGATGAAGCTACCCAGCTGCAGTTCACATTTATCTACTTGTGTATTCTATTAATTGTTTATGGGTTTATCACTTAGGCAGATGTATTTAAAGATTTAGATGCTCACCTGCATCCTTTTCTAAAACTCTACTTTCTTGAATTGGAATAGATCAAAAGATGAAAATTATTTAGAGAGAGAATATGTGTGCATGAGCAATTTTATTAAAATAAAAAATAAAATAGCAATGTAATCATAAAGGCCACCCATTTTTAGAACTGTAAACTTGCCACTCTAATCCAAAGCAAATTTCTGTGGAAAGAACTATTAAATAGGACTTGCTTAGAAATAAAAATTTAGGATTGCACTCTTTTGGATTTATTTATATATTACCTTTGCCAATATCATGCTTATTAGCTTTATGGAAATGGTGGTTTCAGTTATTTCAAACAGAGTTTGGGTCTGTTCTTCGTACAAAGGTGTATCAAACTGCCATCCCACAGCACACTCTGAATGAGGCAGTAAACAGTATGTTTTGAATTGGAGAAAGTAATAATCTTTAGGAAACAGAGTGTAAATTTTTCATATCTTAATACTTAAAGATTAATAATGTATGGGCAGCATCCTGAGTTTTATGGCTAGAATTTCAATGTTTCTTTATTACATCTTATCTGCATAGTATCATGAAGAATACAAACGATGCAGAAATCATATACTGAGGGTTGTTTTCCTGAACTAAAATATAAATTGCAGGGGGATTGGAAAATTTAACAGACACCATATATATGCCTAAGAATGTGGAATTCTGGATGAAAGCTGCCTTTGCAGAACTAAGGGTAGTCTCTCCTGCTCTTTCTTGCCAAGGATACTGAAATTAACATGCAGCTGGGCTTCTCTGATAAATGGATTCTGTTAGGTCACTGAGGGGATGCATGTGACATTAAGTGATTTACAGCCCTTTACCTTAATGAAATTGTTTCAGCGAGATGACGCTGAGAGCTTTTAATGGATAGCTTTTCTTGATGTAATGAAATTGCATTCCTTTGGCATTTAATATAAGGTGCAGTTATTATTTACTGGAGCTTTCCCAGGGCTGTTGTGTTTTTGCACACGCAGTTCGAAACAAAAAGAGATTTCAGTGGTGGCGTCAAGACCAGAATGGCGTGTGACATTCTTAAGCAGATGAGTGTATTTGAGGAGTACATTTCAGTTAGTGTGGCCTACCTTTCAAGCCTCAGCTCTTAAGAAGACTTTCTTATGCATAATGCTGCCAGCCTTCATCTCTTTCACACATTGCCTCCTAATCTTTTTAACAGGCAACTGGATTACAACCAGATCAGCTGTATTGAAGATGGGGCATTTAGGGCTCTCCGTGATCTGGAAGTGCTGTAAGTAATTGCTTCTCTGTCTTACTTCTTAAACATGAAAGTCTGAATGCAGGAGCTTATCTGGTAGCTGCAGCTTTGGTGTCAAAATGCTTGAATGAAATTATGTATTATAATAAATCCTCTTTGATTAGACTAATATTACTTTGGAAGATATTAAAAGCTTATGGAAAGAGTGGGTATATTTTCCATATTTAACAAGAACATCACATTCACCAGATGTAACCGTGTAAGGCGAAACAATTCCTTTGGTGTATGTGTGGGGAGGCCAGAAGTTAAAGGATTTTATGATTCAGTATATTCTTGTAAGCCCATTTTCCATTGTCCATATCCCACACAATGATGTACCACCTTTTAATTATAATCTTTTTTGTATTAAATGCAGGGCAAAGCCTTGAATACACTTTAGCAGGTTTCATAAAATGTATTTTGTAAGAGGAGGACATGGTAGTATTTTCAAGAGATGAGGCTTTCCATGTTGTTTTTTTACATTGATTTTGGTTCCTGAGCTCTTGTCTGCAAGCTATTCATTCTGAAATAGCCTTTCAGAAGTCAATAGGACTCTTAGAAATAACAGGTAAGTGAGCGAGGCGTTTGGATTGCCACACCAATAAGGCATTTCCTATTTGCACTGAATGATGGTGTGCACAATCTAGCACCCTGACACTTGCCTTGTTTCTTTGCTTTTCATTGTTAACAGATATGACAATATTGATACAATACATTGTTGCCACTAAAATGATAAATAAATAATATGAATAAAATGCCTTCCAATTTCCTGGAAAAATTGAATACTTAGCATGTAATGAAATATACTGGTAGGCCAAATTGTACATTCATTGGGAATATCTTTTCATGCATTTAAGCCTCAATCCTGTACACACTTGCCTGGGAGTAAGCCCCACTGAGTTATTTGTAAATAGAAAAAAAGTATTGCTCTGTATTGTTCTGTGTCAGTATATATTTATATAAATATGTACATGCTCTATTCATTGTTTAAATTTATTCTTTAAGAATTAGGAATGTTAACAGTAAATCAATCTGACAGAAGAGCAGTTTCCGTCTTAATTCACGTTTAGTTGGTAGATTCAAAATTGTACATTTCCAGTTTTGTTTTGTTTTTAAATATGAGGAACCTTTAAGATCAGATGGTGAGCACTAATGTGATCATTTTTTGGCAATTTAAGAAGTAATTTCTGTTTACTAGAATTCTAAAATGCGGGTAATGCTAATACTACTATTTTAAAATAATTCCATTACAGTTACTGATTTTTAATCAAAGTAGCATGTCAGTATAGATAGAATAATATATTAAAGTGAAAAATGACTTTTTAATGTTGAAATATTTGCATTATTCCAGTATGCAAATAATTCATATTCCATTAATATAGCTTTTACATTATTCCATCACAGTTTTCAAGGAATTCATCTGTAATGATCCTTCTGCAAAGATGTGTTAAGCAGCTTATTATAATTTCCTTGTTTCTATAAACTTTAATCTCATAATAGTCAATGGAAGTTATCCCACTGAAAATCTTACACAACAAAAATAAAGTAAGATAATTTCAATGTGCTTTCACAGGGCCCTGTTAAGTTCATGTATCATATATATTAAAGTAATCAAAAACTACATATACTCATGCCCATTTATGGTATTAAAAATTGTTGAATCAATTCACCATAAAACAGTATGGCACCACATAAAGAGATAATGACATATCATTACAGGAACAGCTTGATGTGGCTTAGAGATGGACATAGCTTTCTGCAAATAAAGAACAATTAAGATATAATTGTAAGGACACATGCAAGTTCTATTGTGTAGATTTTTTCCCTTTTGCTTTGTTATATGTTGCTCTGAAAAAGATGAAAAAACAAAACAAAGGACCACATTTTCAAGACTGCTAGCATCTTGAGGGCAGTCCCTTTAATATATAAGGATACATTTCTTTGGTGTTCTATATGACTAACTGTATTGTTAGTATGAATACAACATTATTCTTGCATTCTTTTGCTATATGTATGAATCCATAATAGGGTTTTTTCCATTCTAAATATGTGTAAACTTTACCTACAGTTCTCTCAATGTTTTACTGTAGAGTTAGTATATTCCTATCCCCCCCCCCAAAAAAAAAGTGGGGAAAGGGGGGAAATACTAACCATGAAAAGATGAATTGCAAGGTTTTTCAGGAATGCTTATGCTTGTGAATCCTGTGCCTGGTATTGTGGTTTCCATATCAGTTGTTTTAATTTTCTCCTCCCAGTGCTGGGTGACCTGTAAGTATGCAACTGGCACAGGATATTTTGGATTCCCAGATCTGAGGATGGAAACAGAGTGCTTATCTCAAACTTGGAAATCCATACTTCTTCCTTTCTCCCTCACCTTGGAGAGACCCACTCCAGCTGCCTGTCTAGGGGCTGGAACATGACCTTGGAGAGGGGTAAAGGGAAGATTCCAGGGAATAAGGAAGAGAGCAGTGAAGACTACAAAAGCCATGCTATAATATATCCTGTGCTCTGCAGCCTAATTTCTCTTTCCAAAGCATCTTTCTAGATGGGTGAAAGCAACCATCTGGCTAAAATACAGAGTGGGAGGAGTGGGGAGGTGGAGTTTGCCTCTGCTGCACCTCCCACTCTGCAATGGATGCTTGAGCCTCTTTCAGGGTCTTAGGAACATCAAGGGCACAACAAGGGATTGTATCTGTATTTGTTTATTTACTCTCTCTTCAGTTTCACTATTCAAGAAGGAGGTAGCTTATATGCAAGGAATATCTCAGCCATTACTGACCATTGTTTCAACTGTTATACTAACAATTTACAGAACAATCAGCACTAACATTTCTTAGAAATGCAGAACACTTCAGCCATTTTACTGGTTATTGAGAGTTTCAAGAACACATTGTTCCTTTTTACAAAATGTACTGAGAAGACAATTTTTGCATGCATAGTAATAAAGTAGTAAAGTTTTGATTTTCAAAGAGCATAAGGTTGCAATGTGATTCTCATTAGTTTGGAGACATTGATAAGTGCAAACCCAAATAATATTTGGAAATCATTCTCCATGTTCTTCGAATAAAAAAGATTATTGAGCAAAAGTGTTGGCAATGGCATAAACCCTCTCATCTTTCACTTGCGTCATGTTCACAGGCATCTAATATTAATTGACAAAAACTTCATGTTATTGAATTAAGTTTGCTATACACATCTCCATTCGAAGTGCAGACCAGCAGAAATAAGCACATAGTCCAGGTCTGGGAATGTCATTTATGCCTTTGCCTAGAGCACTGCAGGCATCTCTCTGTTCTGCTGTTATTAAGATTATAGTGATAGAAAGGATCAGAAGATTAACATGCCCAGACTTGCACGCCAAAGCCAAATTCTTCCTATAAAAGAAATTCTTCCGTTTCTTCTATATCATTGCCACCCTTCCACTGCCATACTGAAATACTTAATCATGCCACAAGCACAACAGATTAGTTGTGTCATGCCAAGGGTTTGCCTAGAAGAAGGATCCAGATGGCATATATGAATGATGTGAGCTGAACACAGCAGGAGAAGGATGACTCTTGTCAGGATCTCTGCTGGCCCCTATGATCTGGCAGAAAATTTATTCATGGATGCAAGCATAGCAGTCAGTTGAATAGGAACCAAATGCTAAGAAGCATGGCAGGCAGACAACCAAAGAAGCTAGATAAGACTTAGCACCCCCTTTTTTTTTCTTCATGGCATACACAACTAACATGGACTAATAAAATTGTTCATGAGCTACTCACTTCTTTGAATGTGTGCAAGGCTGTGGCAAACATGTATCCTTGATTTCATCTGATGTCATTCTGTCAGAATTATTATTCTTTGATGTCTTTAAAAGCTAGTTTTGTTTATATGCCATTTCTAGAATTAAAACACATTTTGCTATGTTACCTGAATCAGGCCTTTCAGATTGAACACCACACACTGAAAATGTGAATTTGACTATTTTAAGAGAGCATGTGAAACTGCCATTTTTATTATGAAGGAACAATAACATTCTAATTTAATGCAGTGGATTGGCATTCATTTTTGAGATGGTGTCATCATTCTAAAAGAATATAGGGTTATGTGGTTTTCTCCAGTGGAAAAGCTGGCTAGGCTGGAGACATTTTGTTGCTAGAATCAAAACCATTTCATTGCCGGAGTCAAAACCCAATGCTTTTCCACCCCACTGCCTATGTGGAGAAAGACTCTAACAGTACACTATTCAGACACCAGTTCCTATGTTCAACTGTTGCACCCTCTCATGCTTCCACCTGAATTGGACCATTGCTGCTGCATAGCAGGGCTAGCCCTGGAAAAAGGGGCTTTCTTCACTGGATTCATAGCATGGAATTTACCTTTCCCCCTCCAAACTATTCCTCATTTGTTCCTTTTGCTATTTCTATAGGCCATTGGTTATATGCCTTGCCACCTTGTGGTTTGTGAAATGGATATGTAGGAAAATGGAGCCTACACAGCTCTACTTCTTGTGCTTATCTGAATGTCTAACGTTGCCCAAACTTGGCTGCTGACTTCTCTTGTTCATGCTGGGTTTCCAGTCAAAACTGAGAGAGAAATCACCTTTTCTTTTTCTTCCACATTCGGTATAGTGAAAACAAGACAGGGATATTTCTCTTATTCTTGCTGGCCTTTTTGACAGCAAAATTCCTGCTGGACACATAGACAGGATTAGGAATATATGAATCTGTTCATTTCCGTTTCTCTTAGTTTCTCATTTTGTAGTCTTAAATGCAATTTGTATGGGTCTTTGAGAATTTGTCCGGTCTTAAGTTAGGTCTTTCCAAATGTTGAGGGTTTTTCTAAAGTTTGCATTAAAAAAAAATCAGACTGAGGAATTGTATACATTCCTCTTAAGAGAGGCATTTTTGCCTAGCATACACATTTTCGGCAAGCAATTTTTCAAATATACTGCATATTTAAACACTATTTCCCCTATTACTTGTGTTTTTGTATCTATGTTTTGATTGGAGAAAGGCAATGAATTTTGGCTTGCACAAGTAATTCTATAATGCAAAATTAGTTAAGTTCTCATTAACATGCAAATTAAATGAATTTCTCCCCTATCCCTATGCAGAATCAAGGTCTTGCCTCTGGCAAGTAGGTGAGTAAAAGTACCCTAGTTTTATGAATCACTTTCTGAAGGTTCCCTTGTAAAACTTTCTTGGAATATACTTGGGATGGGTGCAGAAGAGAAGAATCATACTACATTTTTAATTTTAAACTATACTTGAGGCGCATCCAAAATATTCGCCATGCAGCAAATAATCCCTACAGTGGAGTTTGCTGATTGCTGGGCCATTATCTTATGGCACAGGTAAAAGAACCACTACTTGTGATCAAGATATAAATATTTTGATTAGTGTTTTTAAAACACACACACGCGCACGCGCACATCCTTTAGTTCCAGGAATGTGGATAATGTAGTTCAACACCTATTTTAATCTGACTGTGTCAGTTTAGCTGAATTTTAACTATTTAGGCACTGTCTAAAGTCAGTATCAAACAAATCACTTATAAAGTGCATTTCACTTGAAAATTATCTTGATGTTTTCATTAAAGATTACAACTAGGTATGTGTGTTCAGGATTGTGAACATTGACCAGGATGCATACATGGACATGGACATATATTTGAATGTACCAGTATTCTAAATAATGCAGTACAAGATAGACACTATTGGGCGTATATTTAGACATCCTTTACTGTGCATTCAAGAAACACTAGCAATATATATTCTGGTTCTCAATCTGAGAAATTATTTCCATATGCAAGCCTGTTTATAACACATGCATAACTATATTTATTTACTTATTTAATTTCAGTACTGCCCAACAGCTGAAGCTCTCTGGATGGTTCACAACATCACATTCAAAATAGCAATAAAATACGTCATATTAAAACATTATTAAATTTACAATACAAAATTTAAAACCAAATTAAAACATATTTTATACGATCTTATAACTTGAAAAAATTCTTAAGACCTGTTTAATGTCATGTATGGGCCCTGAGGCAAGGTGCCAGAACACCCACAAGCAGGGTATACCTTCGATGGGAATTCAAGCTCAGACATTGAAGAAGAAATTGTTGTGGAGTCTCAGCAAGCTCCAGTATCAGATCAAAGTCAGAGAATGACTGGGGAGTCAGGAGAGGAGTTGTTGACAGCAATAACAGGACCACAGAAGTCAGGGGCTGGACAGGGCTCACAGCAGGAACTGAGCAGTCTGTCTGACAGAGGGGTCCCTCCTGGGACTCCTCAGAGGGGTGTTAGGGATGGCCCAACATTGGGTGAACACAGAGACATGTAACAATAAAGCCTTGTGAAAAGAAACTCAGGAGTAGCTTGCTTACTTAAGCGGAGAACTGTGCCTCACATTTAATACCTAGCAGGCCACAGTAGGGGGTGTGTGTGTGGGTGTGTGGAGGGGGTGTCTTCTCAGTTGTATCAGGCAAATTGACCTCAGTGGAACTTTCTTGAAGCTATTGCACTTACTATCCATCTTGGATCAAATAAAATATTGCATTTCTCCTTTCTCTCTCATGAACATTCCTACTTCAGAATAATTCTAGCAGTGAGCATTAATTCATGACCAGAATCTCTACCTGTTCCTAAATATAAGCTTATCTAGATATCAAGATTAGTGTTGATTGTCTTAACTTCTCTAGCACCTTTTGATAAAATAATTTAGGGATATTGTTGAATACCAATACCTAGTTATTTATTAATGATTATGGAAATTAGAAATGTGGGTATGGTCATTTATGCTTTAATTATCTTGATATTAGGTTACTGTAATGTACTCTGTGTGTGGCTGCCCGTAGAATACTTTTTCGAGGCTATTTCTGATTCAAAAACCAGCAGTGAGACTTCTGAACACTGCCATTTTAAAAAATATGTCATGCCATTATTATACTGTATTCAGTGGTTGCTATACCATTTCCGCTACAGTTCAGTTGCAAGTGTTCTTTAAAGCCCTAAATATCCCAGTACCAGATTATCTAAAGCAAGAGTAATGGATGATAGATCTACTGGTTTACAGATATCTGAGCGGTTTACAGATTTCTGGGGTGATTGGTAGGATGTTTTGACACAATTGTTTAACAAGAGCAAATAATACGTTTTTTTATAGTTTATTTCATTTTATTCTGGCTCCCCCTCCCTTTTACTTTGTTTAAACTGGGGTGGATTTTTGGTCTAAAACAGCCTTCTCCAACTTGGTGATCTTCAAAGGCATTTGGACTGCAACTCCAAGCATTCCCATCCAGCAGGACCATTGACTGGGAATTCTGGGTGTTGCAGTCCAACCTGTCTGGCAGACACAAGGTTGGAAAAGTCTGGTCTAAAAGGACTGTGAGTTCTGTTCTTGGGCTGAAAACAAAGCACTATTCAGAGATGGCAATTCTAAATATATGTTCTTTCCCCTGAACATTTGTATTTGGACTACTTGGGGCTCCCCAAGGTTCTAAAAAACCGTGTGGGTTCCATAAGCTGCAGTCAGTGCATTACTGATCTAGTGGGTAGTCTCCCCACAGATAAAACTAACCAACCCCTAATGTTAGGTAATGAAGATTGTTTGTGAGGCACAGTTGGTGGGGACATGTGAGAGGGTATTTCCTGTTATATCACCCAAAATGTAACTCTCTGTCTCAAAAGATATGTCTAGCTCCCTCCCCACCTTCCACCCATCAGCAATCAGGCATTTTAATTAGATATAAAGTTGGTTTGTCTAAGATTAGTTAATTTGAATTGCTTTTATTTTGGCTTTCCTGAATTGATGTTTTTCTTTTTTATACTTAATTTCTTAAAATTATGAGCTTTCATGAATGAGCCCATTTGATACATTGTGTCCAAATCTGAACCCCAGACTTGTTTTTCCTCTGATACACCATGGTTTCTGCCAGACATCCACAGCATCCCTGGGTTGCTCCTGCTGATCTCCTAAGGGGGCTTGAGAAACTTAGGGTCTAGTTCTCACTTAAACATGAAACTGAGTAGGCAGTTAGAACCAGTCACTGACTTTCACATCAACTTACTTTGTTGAAAAAAGAGGAGGAGATGCAGGGGGAAAGGCAGTATCATGTGCAACCTTGGGCTTTTTGATAGAAAGAGGTGATTTAAATTGTTGTCATCATTATTGTTATAGTTCATTGATATTCCACCTATTTTCTTCTTGTCAGGAACCCAAGGCAATTAACATAATCCTCCTCTACCTCATTTTTATCCTGAAATCAAAGCTTTGTGAGATAGATTTGGCTGAGAGGAAATGACCGGCCCAAATTCACCCAGTGAGCTTCATGGCCAAGTGGGGACTTGAACACAGATCTCTCAGGTCCCCAGTCTAGCATGGTGTAACCAGTGTAACCACCATGCCACACTGGTTCACACTCTAACCACCATACCACACATTACCATGCAATACATATACAAATATAAGTAGTTGTTCTTGACATGCCTGGAGTAGTGGAATTAATTATTTATCTGATCCTCAGAATTCTGAGAGAACTAAGCCTGTCCTTTGTACCTGTCCTTAATGTTTTACAGCACTCTCAACAATAACAACATCACTCGACTCTCAGTGGCAAGTTTCAACCATATGCCCAAACTCAGAACCTTGTAAGTAGTTGAAGACCATGTTTCATTTTTCTATTAGTTTTATGTTTTGGAGACTATATTATAGGATTGACTACTTGGTCATACCAAGATTCTCTGTTGTTGTGGTATAAGTCATCCCAAAAGGTTGTGCGCCTACTGATACACATGGAAGAATGGAGAGATAATAGCAGCATGATATACCTTTAGGAAAAGGTTTTGAATCTTAGGGGATTGTGGGTGTGGTGCCAGATCAAATATCCAGGAGAGGCCCTTTTAAGATTCTGTCACACTCAGTGGCCCATTTGTCTGTCATGTTGTAAGAACATTCTCCTTTGTTTTCCCCAAATTATGGAATGTCCTCCCTCAAGAACTACACTTAGTCCCTTATTTGGATGCTAAGATGTTTTTCTTCAAAATAAATATTTGGTGAAGTTTCAATTCCATCTTGCTATTGCTAGATGGAAGCCTCCAAAAATCCTACATTTTTCCAGACTGCTGCCAACAGCGTGGAAGGAATGCTGGAGACCTTCTGTTCCTCAAAAAAAAAAAAAAAAAAAAAAAGAAAAAAAAATCAGAAACTACATCTAGATGAGTCCCTGAGCTTATCTAGTTTAATTACCAACAGTGGATGGGGATGGGCAAAAGAGAGATCAGGATTATGTGGCTTTCTCCCTTCCTTTCCTGTCCATTGGCTGCCTCCTTTCAATTTGCACAAGTTGTCTAATGTTACTTTTGCATGTTTGGAAAGCATTCATCTTAATTTTTTTTGCCATATCAGTTGCAAGGGGTAAGGTTTTGAAGTTTGGATTCCTACTCTTCATGTCATATTAGTGTCAGAGAGGGGAAATACCTGAAATATCTTAAAGGTACTGTCCAAGGATCACAGAATTGTGCCATTAGTCTTTTAATGTTACTGTTCTTATTGTTTTAAGGTATTACTGACTGAAATGGTTAGATACCATTTTGGTGGATTTGTAGCAAATAAGGCAATATGTAAATGTTAATCAATAAGGCCATCAGAAATGCCATGCCTGTGTTTTAATTTGGCTCACCCTGAAGCATGTAGACATTCAGATCAATAGAAGTTTTAGAGAGGATGATTACTTTGGCTATTTTCTTTTAATCAAATGTTGATAATACCATGAACAAAACATTGGATTCTGTGGCATATTAAAATTCCGAATAGTTATCATTTACCTGAAAAAGTAGAAAGTTATTTTGAAGTTTTGAATAGGTCATTTTTATTTAAGATCTTAGTAGAATCTCTGACTGTCATTCAGGTATGATAAATGTAAAATCTTTACGCTTTTATTGCTGTAATTCTGGTAGGCCTAATTAAATTGAAATGGATCTTCTAAATTCTTTCCAGTAAAAACACAACTTCTTCCAATAGTGTTATAATTAAGGTTCTGTCAGGATTTACTTAAAGATCCGCATTTTTATAGGATTACTCTGGCATGTGAAGTATTCTTAAGACAGTTAAAAAGATTATTGGGCAAATTTTGGTTAGTGCTAATTAAAGTACCAATGTGTTTGGTATCTTATTTTTTAAAAATATATTAAGTAAAACTATTTTAGGATATTATCTAATGTACCTTGCTACTGTGTCTAAATACTGAGAAAATCAGGAGTAAGACTCATACAATTGTCCTCCTTACTTCCCCGCAGTGCAAGTACGTAATGAAAAGCATCCATCCAAGCCTTTCATAACATTTGTGGTCACAGGTGGAATGGGTCAGAGCTGCTACACTGTGGGCTGTTTTCCACAGGGGAAAACATTCAGGTGCCATATTAATACCCACATATTTTTGCCTGCAGAACAAATAGCAACTGGATGGGAGCAGGGATTTCTGTCAAGAAAACATCAGACACATCTGTCTCTGTGCAGTTTCCACTGTCCTGTTTAGTTTGAACCCACGTTTCCCCATATAAAAGGGGATGTATATTATTCAAAAAAAAAAAGAATTGCTTTATATATTAATGTCTTCTGTCTTTAATTTTAGGAAAGCATTAAGACCCAGATGAAGTCATTCACATAAATTTAGTTGATCTATTTGTCTAGTGTGCTATTTCAGGCAAAAAGTTTTTTACAACTGGCCAAGGAACCATTCATTTTGCTGAGGTTCTTGCCAAGACAGAGGTGACTTAACGCCTTCACTCACTGTCATTTAGAGCACAGTCCTGTGGCCACTAGACAGAGTCCAGATGACTAGACTTATTGAGAGCCAACCTTGGACACTTGAGTCAGAGCTGAGACTCCAACTTCAGCATGCCCTGCCACCACCCTTGCAGCTGGTATGGAAAGATCTGGATCTGCTGAATGTCCAAAGTCATAACAGTATCTTGGAGATGGGCTTTGGGGGGCATGGAGAGGATAAGGATGAGAGTAGACCAGCTCTGCAACATATGGAGTAAAATAATGATGCTTCAGCCTCTTCTCCTTGTGTTCTGAGGCAAACATTTAGATGTCTGCAATCAGTCATTTAAGTTTTTTGCAAGGTGTGAGAACATACTCCTTCCACCCACCACAGGATGCCTATAATCCTCTAAACTTGGAGGATTGTACTGCACTTCCTATCTTTTAATTTCAAGCATTATTTTAAGTTTGAGTCCCTAAGACCCAACTCATTCTGTGATTAAACTGAACAAGATGGAAGAGAAAATAAGTGTGAATTGTCTCATTTAGCACAAAATTGAAAACATGTTCCTTGAGAAGAAGTTTAAGCAGTAGCAAGCAGTTACTGTGATGATTAGTAGCCATTCAAAATATTCATATCTTCAAAAGATATTGTTCCTAGAATCTGGGACAACAATTCTTTTATCAGGACTTTTTCTTTCATGTTGTACATTTATTTTACAGTGTTGAGTTTATGATAGAATGGTTACTTACAAACTTTGGGGAAAGGGATGTGGAAGGTGGATGTGTTGGTACTAGTCTTATAACAAAGCAGGCTAGCAATTCCCCAGACAGGTACTCCTTCCAAGGCCGCTATATTCCTTCAGATCAGCAATCCATCTCCCATGGGGGCTGTTACCCTTCTTCAGATCCCATATAGTTAACTTTGCTCCACCCATTACTAGGATCTTTAAAGGAAGCTTCTTTGTGTTATCCTGCACTCCTAATCTTACGTACAGCTGAATAATGAAGCTTTCTTAGTTTGAAAGGCCTGACAAGATTCTGGAGGCTACAGGATAACTGGTCTATTTCTTCAGCAGGAGAGAAAACCCACTGAATTAAAGAAATAAATTAAAGGTGTCCATGCCAGACAGAAGAGGGAAGTTTTCAGATTCTCCAGTTTCCAGAAAAAAAATTAAAGTACAGTTTCTTAAATTATGATGGTTATGGAAGTGATGGAGCTCTGGGACTGACACTGATATCTGATACCTAGGAAAATGTGTACAGTACTCTTCTTACTACTATTCCTACAATTATTACTATTCTTTCTCAGTGCCTTCACCTTGTTTCATGCTAGTATAGAGCCAAACTAAAGGAGTCAGTATTTTCTCTTGCAAATACTTCTGTGTTTTTCAGGGGAGAGGTCCATTTAGTGGGGGAAAGATTAGCAAATCTAAGATTAAATGTAAAACTTGTGCAGCCTTATTTACTTATGTAAGTAGTTTTGGTGTCATAAATGTTTTCTTAAAAGATTTATTTATTTAATGAACCACACAAGTTTCTACTTCCTTAATATACCATCTTACGCATTTTTATTTAGTAGTTAAGGGGTTTTTCTCCCAGCTAAGTGTACATAGCATAGTAGATGAGGATTGTGATAATTTTCCATTCAAAGTATGCCTTGTATTGCTTGCAACATACTGACTTAGACATTTATGGTTCTGTTTTTTGTTCAGCCGGCTTCATTCCAACAACCTTTACTGTGATTGCCATCTGGCTTGGTTATCTGATTGGCTACGCCAGCGTCCTCGGGTTGGCCTGTATACTCAGTGCATGGGTCCATCACACCTAAGGGGTCACAATGTAGCTGAAGTTCAGAAAAGAGAATTCATCTGTAGTGGTAAGAACATTATTAAAGCAGAATTACATTGCTATAGTGCATGAGAGGTATGGTTTGAAAAAGAAAAGCATGGGTAACACAAGCTTCACTAACAGTGCACAAAATATGTGTTCAGTCCACCCACATGGATATGTTCCTGTCCTCTGTTTATGGAAATACAGATAGCATGACTGAAAGCAGAGGTAAGAGAAACCTACCTCCAATATCTTTATCCAACCTTTCCTTTCTCCAGTTTACATGCCCTCCAGAGCATGGGTAACTTGCCCTCGGTGGGGATATTGGAGGTGCAAAAAGGTCTCCCATTTCCCATAACAAGCAGTTGCAACCTTTGTACCTGAGGAGGAAGGGGTGAAAACAGCTCAACAGGTAACCCGTCCAGTGAGCACTACACCCATGCTGCGAATGGGTTGATATGGTGTCTAATGGCAAATAACTAGTGTCATCACATTTCCCATACTTTACTATGTGGGTGTGCCTTTTTTGAGGGGAAGCCTGTGGCCAGTGGAGGTGAGAGCACAAGGTGATTTACTGTATTTTTATTATTGTTACATTTTATGTATATCCTGCCTTTTTTTTCCTCTTGTGAAGAACCCAAGGTAATTTACATAGCTGCATTTTATCCTCATAGTAATCACCAGCCTGTGAGATAGGTTGAGCCCAGAGGTGTTTTTATGTAAAATAATTGGATCTTTGAAATTTACACAAAGTTTATCCTCTGTGCTTTCATAACCTATTGTGAAGAAAATCAGATTGGATGGAATATATATTGCACGTTTTAGCATGTCTGTGGCATTTTTGTTTGCTTGTAATGAAATAATAACTAATGATATATTACTAACATTTTCTCTCTTTTTCTCTATTCCTATCCCGTAGATGAGGAAGAAGGCAAGTTCATTTAAATATAGCAACCAGTTAATTAAATTATTAGTAACATTGCTACATAACTCTGCCCCAAAGCTTGTGTAACTTCTCATTTACCTACAAAATGCTATACTGAAAAAGGTCTGTGGAAGTGCAGAAATTGCTCAAGAATACTACTGCTCCTGTTAATAGCAATTAGTGTTCTTCATGGTTTCTGTGAAATCCTACATATGGGTTCTGTGACTGCTTAGAGCTATATGGAACCTTCTTGATCTAGACAGGAAGGTTGGTAGGAAGCCCACTCCCAGCCATTAGGACATGCACTCATTTCCTTCCTGACCACAGATTAACCACATCCAGAAACTTTTTCTGTGTGCTCTCTTGAAAAATATAAACAGTGGTGGTAAGGAGCTATACATTGGCAAGTGTAAATTATTTCATTAATATACATTCTGAAGTAGGGTTCCTATGAAAGTTGTATCATGTTAGTCAAGAGCTTGATATACTATGGTGGAATCTGGTTTACCTCAACCCTGGTTTCATCTATAGACGTGATTCACCCATAATACTAACCCATGGTTTAGTTAACTAGCTACACTAACAAACCATGGTTTGTTAGCTATAAGCAAACCAGAAAGGGAACCCATAGGTTCTTGTTGGGTTGTAAACTCTGGGTTCTTTAAACCATGGACTGTTATTATGTATGTACCCTGAATTAAGGGCCATTCATGGGTTGTTTCATGAGGCTACAGAGACCACAGGCTATTGGGTGAAAGAAAATAAAACAAGCCACTGTACATGCCAGTACTACAGTGCTTCAAAGGAGGAAAGGATGAAGAAAACAACCCATAGATTAAGGCCAATTTTTTCCCAATTATCTGTCACACAGAAAAATCCTTGGTAGAGAAAAGGGGAAAAAAGGGATTAGCGTTGTGTGAAAATTGTCAAAGTAGCTTCTTCTGTTTAGTCAAAGTAACTTTTATTTTATATTAAGACATTTTGAAATGTATATTCAGGAGTTGGGGAGGGTAAGTGAAAACATTGATTTCTGCAGTCTGTACAGTGTTGAAATGAGTTAGGCTTTTCATTAATAACATTCTTGCAGTTTTAGAAGTAGCAATTTGTTACTGTTTCCAGGTCATCAGTCTTTTATGGCTCCCTCCTGCAGCGTCTTGCACTGCCCCGCTGCATGTACCTGTAGTAACAACATTGTGGACTGCCGAGGGAAAGGCCTTACTGAAATTCCCACCAATCTTCCAGAAACCATAACAGAAATGTACGTAACAGGATTTCCCCTCTACGTTTACTTAATTCACTTTCTTTCAGTTCTTTAAATATTTATGATCAATATTAAATACTGCGATGAGGCAGAATATATAGAAATACAACATACCTTTCTATTACAATTTGCTGTGAATAAAGTTAATTGTATTTGGTATAATCTTGCATTGGCTGTGTAGATAAACATAACCTACCATACAATTAAACTGTTGGTAGAACCTGCTTGAGGCAAACATGAGTGTTAATAGTGATTCCTGGTTATGTTTTGTTTTGTTTATTTTTTGGTCTTTGCAAAGTTGCTGTAGAACTAGGTTTATCAATGAGCAGAGGGGCAAGGAAAGTGTCCTTTGCCAGGCTCAGTAAAGAGGCATGGAATGATTTATCTGAAGGCACCAATATGCTTATTAAATGGTTTTATTTAGTATATGTTTTTCTCTGGCCTCTCTGTAGCCAGGCAGGTACAATATTCTAGAATTAATGATACTGAGTTTGGACATGATAACAAGCCATAGTTTGGAAAGTTTAGCCCTACTTTTGGGCAGTGCTTTTCTAATACTTACTTAACAGGTCTTTGTTCTCTGTGTGAGCTGAGGTTCACGATCAGTACAGCATTCCATTGCAGCTCCCAATTTAGTACGCATGTTTTCTTTTAGTCCACTTCATAGAGTAATAGCAAAGACACCTTAATTTTTTGCCAGCACTTTCCTTGGCAAAATGTTTACTCCTTATTTTTACCCCTCATTTTGCTTTTGCTTTTGGTTTTAATTTCATTTTGTTTTCCAGTGAAGTGTTAGCTAGTTCTTTCTGTGGATTGCCCTTTCTTTATAGTTTCTGTAACACATGGTGCCTGAAAGCAAGTGCACTGAAAGACTTACCAGAAATGTGGTACTTAAATGGCAGAGGATGACGTTCGGCTTCCTTGTTAAAATAAAGTTGTCTTCTAAATGAAGATAATTCATTATGATGTAACTCTATAATGGCAGTGTTTGTCTCTTTAATGATAATATGCAATTGGAGGTGTTTGTGTCATTACCAGTCATTCCTTTCAGCTACTGTTTGACAGAACAGTTTGTTTGGATATTAAAAACTAGTCAAGCTGTAGGACAATGTTTACAGATTCCCAGATATAGACACTGTTAGCCAAACTTATTTTACAAGTAGGCAACAAATATCTGGAACATCACTTTGGAACAACATTTCAAAAAAACATGTTGATGATGACAACTAGACATTGAGGATAGAATAGGATTTCAAAGAAATGATTTTCTAGGAAACATGATAAACGATATTTTGTGCATGCAAATGCTTTGGTGTACATTTGTTGAGAGGATATGATGTACTTCTGTACAGTAGTCCAAAGATTTCCCCAAATATATGCAATATTTAAGATATCTTTCTTCCTCAAAAGGTAGACATATACTAAATATGGCAAGAAATGTGTCGACATCTGTCAGAATGTTTTAGATTCAGGAGGTGCAGTGATTCCCTTCTGCAAGATTTGTTTTGCTTTTTGACATTTGATTTGGCATTTAAACTAAAAGCAGATGTGAAATATGCTAAGATGTGCTGTCATTTTTATTGTCGTGCGCTATCACCACCTGTATTGATCACATTACCTATATTTGTTTTCTGTGTTACAGAAGTTTGATTTCTTTTTGCAAATGATAAAAAGGAAGGCCATAAGCAGGGTCCTCCAGCAGCCGCTATGCATTAATGCAAGATAGTTAAGATCCTGTGCATGCCTAACAGCAAAGTAGAAACCAAAACTATACCACTGAAAGCAGGGTGTTACTTAGCGATGCTGGCAGACACTCTAATGGCACGCATGGCAACATCACCAGAGCCTACCAATTCCAGTGTTCCGTACCACATGCACTGAAGACATACTAATGGTGGAATGCATCCATGACATCATCCTACACAGGAATAATACACATCCCTTCCACACACACCAATGCACAGTTAGGCAGTGAAGCAACTGTATAGCACTTGCACAAACCCTCTCCATGGTGCTGTGGAAAGGAGGGCCATGACAGTTACAGAGAGACATAAGCGCCAGGATTTATTTCCCACAAGTGTTTGAGTTCTCTGGAGGTGCACACAGCAACAGCCGGATAACACTTCATTTGTGTTATCATTTGCCAGATACATCCAGCCAGCAAAGGAAGGGTGTGATTTCTTATATATTTTGGAAGGTGTAAGTCCTACAGGACAACAGCTGGACTCCCTCAGCTGGTTTTGGTTATAGATTTTGCTTAGGGTTGGCTTTGTACTGTAATGGGGAAAATCCTTGCCTTTTCTCACTCCTACCTGTGCTAGGAGTCATCCAGATAGCCCACCTATTAGATGGTGGGAGCATTTCTTGCACGTGCACTTACTTTGTGGGAAATGCTACTACTATTTCTTGAATAGAAGACAAATATTTACCCAATACAGTTTCATTGCAGTGCAAAGAGATAAATGGAATGCTTTGAGGCAAGGTATCCTGCCTCTTTGTTCTTGCATTTCCAACAGCAGAGGTGAAGTTGATGTTCCTGTTGGGTTTGAAATCTGAATTTCTGTGAAGAGTTCTGAAAAAAAAGTGGTAAGACCCACTGATTCAGATTTGGAATACATGCAGAGGGCAAGAGGGCAGGAAAGTCTTGTTGCATCAGCAGAAGTCCCATTGCACCAGTGCAAGCCCATTCATGCAACATTGGATCCAACTTATTGTACACTGCTGCAGTTTCATCCAGTGGTTAAAGTGCTGGACTGTGATCTGAGAGATCCAGATTTTAGGTTCACTCAGCCAAAGCCCACGGGGTGACTTTGGGCCAGTCATTATCTCTCATCCTAACCTACCTCACAGGGCTGTTTTGAGGACAGGGTTAAGAGAAGAGATTTATGTAAGCTGCCTTCAGTTTCTTAAAGAAAAAAGTCAGGATATTAAATAAATAAATATGTCCTGTCACTCCTGCTCTGACAGATATTATATAGAGTCAAAGGGTGTTATACATCCTTGGGGTGCATAAGCTGAAAAGTATCCAAAAATGTCAAGCGAAAATCATAGTCAGACCCATACTAGTATCAGTGGTTAACATGGTATCCAGCCAAATTTATGAAAATTAGGTTATCCATATGATGTTTAAGAATGAGCCAACAAGGGCTCCCTGCAGGCCAAAATGTAATTGATCCTTAACCACTCAAAACAGTGCTACTAAGCATTTAGATGAGCCCTCAGTTATATTCAAGTGGAATTTTCTCACGCACAGTCACTCAAGCTACTTTCTCTGTCTTTTCATGGTCTCTGAGAGCAGGGGAATCCATTTGGTTCTAGACAGTGGAAGAGGTGTCTGCAAGTGATTGTGCTGACTCCCTGAGTCATTTCCATATTCCTGAGAGTGATGCGGCTTTGGCAGGAGCACCAGCCATGCCAACAAGAAATACTTCAGGGCTGTTAGAAATCCTTGTAGATTTTGGAGAGAACGATTGAAAGCGATTCCATATGTTGCTGAGTTTGAGACCCTGTAAGTCTAAATTCCATGTGATGAAGATCTGACTGTGACAAAGGAAGTCTTTAATGTTCTTCCATATTCAGATCACTTTCAAAACAGCAAAATCTTCATGGTTCAGGTAGCTGCATGGCTAGGGCCAGATATGAAACCAATTTTGGGAGAGGAAGATGTACAGAGAGTTTTGTTAAGATAATTATCTTGAGGGTTTTCAACACCAATATAATGCCACAGCTAGTGGCAGTGTGCCAAGCAAAAACTACAAGCACCCAGAGTTTGGGGACTATCCAACAGGGGGCCTGTTCAGGGAGACTGAATTCCTATAGAACACAGTGGTTGCTGTTCCTTGTTCACTGATACTCAACTAATGCTGAACCAGGAAAGCAGGTGGGCCAAAAAAGGGCCCAAACAGCCACCCTCAGAATGTTTGTTAGGGTTTCATACATACTGTGTCATATCTGGTGCTTCAAAAAAAATCTTCTGGTCACATTATCAGTTGAAAAAGTACTACTACTACTAGTAGTAGTAATCAACAACCATCTATCAAATAGGGTGACTTTACACAATTGCAAATGTGCCACTCACTGTTGGTTTTAGATTATGGGCAACATGTAATTTCTAGTATTACAGCATTGCTATTACATATTTTACAAATATGGGGCCTAAATGCCTGTAGGATTCTTCCAATTCTGAGCTGCTAGGCTTGGAAAACCACACTAACCTTATAGCTGGAAATCTGTGCTCAGATACTCCTCCCAACCCCTCTGTGGGTGGTGTGGCTGCTTTCCAGGGTTGTAAGAGCAACCTCAGTGAAGGCTGTTTTGAAGTGTTCCATGGGGTGGGGAGGGTGGAGACTGACACTACCAAGATATAACATATCCGGACCTCTTTCACAGCACTGCACTTAGATGGCTGAAATCAGCTAAATGCTTTGTAGAATGAGAGGAGCATGGAGGTGACCTTCATCTCTGCAGTTATTCTGCCCTCCATAATACTCCCATAATTCTGTGCATTTGAAGGGTTACGATCATCATCTTTCTAGGATTGCACCCTAAGTATATACTCTCTCGTCATGCTCAGACTGCTTCCTTTTGAGGTTTAGATTTTCAGCTCCCTTTCCCCTCCGCACGGGTGAGGGATCTTTCAAAATGATCTGCCCCTGGAGGCTAATGGATCCTGATGGTTTCCAGTGAGCTCTGGGGGAGTTTTCAGCTGGTATGGCTGATCCTGTCAAAGTCCAGGTTGCTCTGTAGCATAAGGAGATGGTTGGGGCAGTTGACAAGATCATACCCAGGCACCGTCTTCCTTTGAGCAGAGCCTGGCCAGTATCTTGGTATACACCTGAGTTGAGAGCATGAGGGGACTTATTAAATTTACTATCTGTTTTTAGATTGGACTGTTGGTTTCTTGCTGGTTTATTGTTTTATTGGTTACTGTTACTGGTTATATTGTGCTTATTTTTCCTTCTGTTTCCTATTTATATGGTTGTATTTATACTGTATTT